AAGTACATGTCCAGACCAATAGTTGAGATCTTAATGTATGAGTTTTCTATCTGGACAAGTCCTCTAACTCCCTCTCTTCTCTTGACATATAATCTCTCAACATCCGCTTTAGGATGATGCATGCGGTTCATTGTTAGGAATTTCCTCTCCTTTGCGTCTAATCTTTTGATTTCACTTAACTTCCATTTGATGATGTTGAAACTGTATGATACTACAGGTACTGCTAAGGTGTTGATAGCCTGGATCTTATTGGCTGCGTTCAACACACTCTGTAGTACCAATCGGAGTCTTCGATAGTACTCTTTTCTCACCTTTTCTTTCATATTTGAATGCTGTATTCCATCACTTTCATCGATGCCTAGGTACTTGTAGGTTTTCTCTTGGTCAAGTTCTTTAATGACTGTGTCAATATCAATTTGAATGTTCGATTTCTTTGTTAGTTTACCTTTCTTGAAAGTAGCTTTGACACATTTGGCGAGACCAAATTTCATGTTGATGTCGTTATTGAAGTTTGGCACAATGTGGAGAAGTGTTTCAAGATGGCAATACTTCGTCTTTACCCTTTTCACTTTGATTCTAATGGTGAAAGTGAGTTGACCTTGAGGATGTATAAAATTCAATATAGGTGGCACATAATGTCCATTCGCCGGGTTTGCTAGTAGTTTTGCTTTGGAATCAAGCGGGATCCCTGTGGTTTGTACACGGGCGCCCGTAGGTACGTAAGGACGGACAGAAATGACGTAGTAGTCAAGCCATGAAAAATGAACTCGATGGGTTACCATTTTTCTTAAGTATGGTGCTCCACTTCTACTATTACTTTATTTCGAACGCTTATTTTGCGTACGGCATTTCTAAACTTACTACTTCGCCTCTCAAATTGGCCGAAAAGACTCAGCCACACTTGACATGATCGAATATATCATTTGTAGGTTTTTTGCTGGTAATGACAGTGATTGAACTAGGGAAGCAAAGAATATATGCAAATAAACTCGGCTGTTTTATCCGCTTCAGCATATTCTCGGTTTTTGATAGTTTACGATATCATGTTCAACTTTATCTAGTAGTTATCGTTATTGTGTTTATTAGCCACGTTCAAGTCTATTTTACTGTGACTTTTGGCCTAATAATATTTTCCTTTTTTGACAACATTTCCTTGCGTACATTGCGTACACAAAAGAGATAACTAGCTAAAAACAAGTGTGAGCTGCGTCGGTGTTTCTAATGAAACAGTAATTATAGAAAGGTAAATTATATACTGTGTATTGTTTCTCCGATATTGCTTGAATAGCAGCATGAAAAATAGATGAACTCAAACGTATTTATCTCCAAGATATTTGAAACGCGAGGAAAAATGGCTTCCAAAATAAGTGGGGAAGAAAGAAATCAAGTCTAACTTCGACTTGGAACTATCTTCTCGTGGTGGTCGCTGTTTAGCGAATTCGAGAAAAACAATTTCATATCTTTCTGACGATATTATGATTATATCTCGAAACGATTTTCCCTCTTATTACGATAAAAAAAGCTATTAAAAAAAATTCTGACATCTTAATTGTAGTTGTTATTAGACAAGGATATGATGGGTCTTGATCGGTCAATGAATACACTTGATATTAATCGCTTTTCCGGCCATTGATGTGTGCAAATAAATCATAAATAGCATTTGAACGATTAAACGTATTGCTTACGATAGTTTTACTAATATATCGCCTTGTCACACCAGGGGACGGACCAGCTTCATTGAGGTAAATAATAGACACCCAAAGAGACAATATCGATCATATCACAGAACTAAAAGGCAAATTACCATATAAGTGTTTCTTACCAAACACACTTGCTCAGGGTGGTTATATGTGAGATCTGGTCATTGTGAGGTAAGGTTTTAAAGCCATGTCCGTGATCAAATGCCCAATATAAATGGAGATTCTCTCAAAAGCCTTTCTAATGGGATTACATAGGCTTTTCGTGCCTAACTTTCAAAACACCATTAAGACATGGTCAACCACAACATGTGACGTCACTAAGGAAGAAACCACGCATGCGTGTTGCAGTGTCTCATTTCGTAGTTCTAAATTTTCTAAAGCTTTTCTTAATCAGATTTTGTTTTAAGTCTTTTTTCTTTTATCCCAAATAAGACTAAATGAATTACTTGGCTCATTATTTCCATTAATAGAATCATTAGTTTGAGCTAAGGAAGGAATCGAGAAGTCATCGTAATAATATCGTTAGCAAAATTGATGTAGGCAAATGAATCATTTCTCAGTTAAGGCAGAATTTCTTTCAAAATTATTTATTATTCGATGAATCGTGAAAGCCTGGTTGGCTTAAAATGGCGAGCGAGGCTAATGAGTAATACAGTTAATGAATATTTTCTTCAAAAGAAAATGTTTTTTAACGACTCTGTACGGTTAAATCCGGTTAATGGAAGATTTGGTTGATTATTTTCATAGCCGTGAGGTTTATTTTCTATATTTTCGAAAAGAAAAAAAAAAAATTATCGGGTGTTACGACTGACCACTAAAGAAAATATCGTGCTGTGAGCAAAATGTTAGCTGTTTCTTGAGAAATGAAATTACCTGTGAAAATRACAAGAAATTGGAGGAGTTGCGACGTCATCATGACATGGCCTTGGCTCTAGCTAGCTAGGGGGCGGAGACTCCAAGGTAACAATATTTAGATATGAAAGTCCCAGAGTACTAGATCGTTAAGTTAGGTATTTAGCAAGGAGTGCTTAGAAACCACGAGGTTTCAACTGCCTTGAAACATTAATTTCTCCCAAATACTTTAGTTTGCCGCAACGTGCCTAAAACATTAACTTTAACTCAAACTAATGTGAAATTGGTGGAGATTTTCATCTGTAAATCAAAAAAACAGGCAGTTTTTCAAAGTGTTAATCCTGCGTTGAAGGTATAGCTGATACAGGTAAGTTGAATTTAAATTTGATTTGTTCAAAGAGCGAAGGTTTTATGAGATTCCAAAAAGAACGAATAGAAGAGAAAAAGAAGATTTAAATCCGGATTTGAATAAAGAGAAAAGGTAATGTCGAAATTTTATCTCGCCTGAGGATGTTTTAAATTGAAATTTCATCAATAATGAAATAAGGTTTTAGTCATCAGTTCTATAAGGTTGAGGAGCATGTGTTACTTCATTATTGAGCGAAAGAAACAAATTTCTTAAGAGAGGCCAAACAAATTATGCAAATATTTCATTGCATTCATCTAGATTTTTTTTTACTAATTAGCTCAACACAAACTGTCAACTAATGTAGAAAGTTAATCAACTTCCAAATTCCAATTGGAATTACAGTGGATGAAGAACCCTCTGTGGAAGTGCCACTGCTAAATCCTATTTATTTATTTATTTTATTATATTATTTTTTAGTTAATTTTCGTAATTAAGTCACTGTAATGTGTCGCTAACATAAATAACTGATTCTATATACTTAGTAAATATTTCCCCTTTTGTCGACCAGTTCAGTTTAGTGGAAAGTCAGCGACTTGTTTACAATGGCGGGCGCTTTCTCGAATCTCTCGTGGATTTGAATTTAAGTTCCTATAATCCTTTAGAATTAATTGGTTATAACTTATTTAACCGAATGCAGCACTCATATAAAAGTCCACATAATTTCATTTACGTTTTTCGAATGACACCGAGATCATGACAAACTATTTTACTGATATTCTTCATTTTAACCGTGTACATCATCGATCGAGTTACTTTTTTTTGTTTAGATTTAAGGCACGTAATTTCCCTCGAGCAGTCTCCGGAGATTATCAGCCAGCGAAAGATGGGTGATTAGTTGAAAACCAGAATAAATTTAAACCCGAAAATCACAGCATTTTTTTTCTCTAACGAAAAAATTGAGTCCTAAGGAGAGAGAGAGGAAAAAAAGAAAAAAAAAGCTACAAGCTACTGAAAAAAGTAAAATGTAGGAGAGTTCATAAAAGAACCTTAAAAAGGACGCAGTTATCATTCGAATGATATTGTTTTCTTAAGATAAGAAATTGACTAGCGCCGCCAGATGACAAAGCACCACACATTTTCGCTCTCCAAGTGTTTTCTGAAAATCGAGGATGGTATGTATGATTTTTTTCAGAGGAAAAAGAACGCCCAAGCGAAAAGAGAATTAAGCTGAAGGAATCCTTGAAACTAAAAAAGCAGCACAAGGCAAAAAAATCTACATTTAATTTTAAACTCTAATTTCAAGTATTGAAAAAAAAAAAATTAAAGTAATATGCTAAGGGCGGTATTTGAAAGATAGTAACGGACGATCAATATCTTTTTCACTGGCTTCTGTATCAAAACAACAGCCTCATTATGAGACAGACGTATAACACGTGTAAGAGCTGCAGTCGACGAAAAAAACCCAGAGAAACAATAACCCTTGCTATTTATACATTTTTTATTCAAAGTTAGGGACTGTGCAATAATTATCGGGGGGCGGGTTCTAAAATTCTTCAAATTGGGCTTAAATTGAAGCTAAACCCCTCCCTCCGTGCTGTGTAAATAACTTCTCACCCCTCCCCCTTTTAAAATGAAATAGTTATCAACCTCCCCCCTACCCCACCCCACCCCGTACATCGCTACGTATATGATTGGATCGAAACAGAAGTCATCAGTTTCACGGAAGAAAAAAGAAGTAAAGAAGCTGAAAAACGCAAATCCTCGGCAACAGAACATAGGAAGAAAAGGGCATGTGTTATATCTAATTCCTTAGGAGGAACTAATCCTTCAGCAAATGAATACAGCCCTGAGATATATGGCATCCGACAACTTGATAAAATTGATGAGGACACTCTCCTAATTTTTACATCTCAAACTTACAAATCCTGCCTGAGGGATCTTTTTGTTGGGGAAGCCAAGGAGCTTGTTCAGAAGTTCTGTTTTTATCCTTGACATAGCGCTAAATATCATGAACATAAAGCTAAAAGAAACATTACAAAGCCAAACAAAAAAGACATGACATAGTCAGTTGTCTTATATACAGTCAATCAATGTGGTATACTTTACCACAGTACAGTATAGAAAGTTGTGTCTTGTACTGTTTTTAGTTACTGTTTTTTGTACTGTTTTTATTACAAAGGATACTCAGTTTATACATTGTATTCCAACACACATGGTTTTGAGGTTGCACCTGTGACAAGTTATGTTCTTTATACAGTAAAAAAATATAACAATGAATGTTTATTTTAAATACATTCATATGCATCTTTTCAAAATTATAGTRAACAAAATCCCAAATTGACTTATGACCCCCCTCTCTATATTTAAGCAATTCGCTTCTAACCCCCCCTACCCTACACTCCAATTTAACTTTTGACCCCCCCCCCCTATTAATTTTAGAATCCCTCCTCCCGATATAATCATTGCACAGCCCCTTATAATTTTGACCACGGCGTCCTTCTAAATACCCGAATATAGCCATTTCGTTTGTTGACATGGCAACAACACGTCTGTGAAAAGAATGTTGTTGCCTCGGTAACGAAGCTACGAAAGGCATTAAGACACAAGTATAAATCATTGCTCAATAATTACGTAGAGCCAATGAGTTTTACAGTGATTTCATCTTTATCAAAAATTTAGCTGCTTCTAAATTTCTTAATTTATTTATTATTTCTTGATTAAAAGTTACTGATTAATTTTTGTAAAATTGCTTGCATGATTTTCTGATTTATTAAGATCATTGATTTCTATTTTTACCACCAGCTTGACTTCACTTTTCCTTGAAAGGCAATATTTTTAAAGAGGTTGTGCAAGGAAGCGAACTGTCGACTTCATCCAAAATATTTGTGTCAAACGACAGATAAGAGAAATTGTCAATTAGCCTGACGAAAGGACTTTTTATTAGTTTTCAATGGTTTTCTACATTGTATTTCTCGAAAAAGCTGGAACTTCTGATTGATTATTTTGCATTTATTTTTACGGTTTAGCTCGTTTCGACAGCCTGAACCAAGGCAAGTCCGATCAGTTTCAAAACAGGCAAAAAAGATTGACTGAATGAATGAATGAATATAGTACTCAACCAAAGCTCGGTTCGCTCTGTTATTGTCCTGGTTATTTGTTTGTGGAAAAAACTCTTTTCACTTTGCTTCTCGTCCTATGTGGTAACTCAATTAAACAAGAGGATTTTGCGGAAAACGAAGAGACAATGAAAGRCCCTGAATGAAGTCATTGATTATTGGCAACCACTAGGGAAAACTTCAAAGCTTTTCCATTACAAATAACTTTTCAGTCTAATGCTTCTGGAGTACCCTCTTGTGAAGCTATTGACATTTCTATTTTTTTGTAATAAATGAAATTTCCTTTTTCTAAAGAGTAGACTGAATTACCTTTGTAATCAAGTTGTTCGGTCAAAAGTGGGATGTGACACTAACTGCGCATGCGCTACTTTTAAGCCACGAACCAACATGCCAGACCTTAAAAGATGTGTTAAGGCCGGTTTAGACGGTACTATTTTCGCCTACAATTATCGTATACGACACGTTCGCGCCATCCTACAACTCGAGTCGTAGCGTGTAAATCAAGCCTACAACTCGCCTACGACATGCAGACATGAGCGTATTGTGTACGATAGTTGTAGGCGAAAATCGTACCGTCTAAACCGGCCTTAAAGGTCTCTGTGTTCATATATTTACCGTATTTATCAAATTCAACCTCTGCTTGGAATTATTTCCACATAGGTCTATGATTAGCTCACCAAATCAGAAGAGCCTTAAAAATTWAAAAAAAAAAATTGTATTTATCAAGTTCAACCTCGACTTCTCGACTTGGATCTATTCATTCGGCAAGTGTCTATTATTAGCTCGCCAAATCAGACGAGCCTTATTAAGAGAGAGGGAAAAAAGGGTCTCAGAAGTTTCAATTAAAGGGTCTCACGAGTTGTATTTCACAGTTGGTGTGGAACTCTTCAAGGCATGAATCAAGTTCTTCGTCATTCGAGAACACTCGATTCGCGACGGCTTAACAATGCCTCTCTGATGTACGCAATAATTAAAAATCTAGAAATCTAGAAATATAAAAATTAACTCTTATAATTTTAGAATAGAGAGATATATTTTGTAATGCTATCAAAATGCAATAATTATGTAGCACACGATTTCGGGTGTACAAAAAGTTGAAGTAGGGTGTGTTCGTTGAATCGAATCCGACCGACTAGTATGCCTAAAAAATAAAATTTAACTCGTTGTCGGTACTACCACCGCTACTGAGAACAGCGATGACCTGGGGCAGCTCAACGGGTTTGAGCTAAATGAAATAATCCCTAATATATACCCAATATAACTAATATATATCGATATATATATATATATAATCATTGATCAATGTTAACGTTTAAACAGCCTTTGTTTTTTGAATGCTTTATAGATAAAATGTCTTGGAAAATATTGCATATTTTGACTAAACGGAAGTCATTTTTGGAAGTATTCTAATAGATGCTACTATAGCCTTGAAGCAACTGGCTATATGCACGTACTGATAAATAAATGAATATAAAATTCACCTTTATGTATAATATTATAAACCTGTTAATTCGTAAACACCATCTTCTTCGTGTACGGCTGGTTGTTTCGTAAATATTAAAACGGGAATAGCTTGATTGCCGATGCACTTGTTCGATTGATCACTGATCAATCGAAGTACAATTTTATAATTCATGTTTTTAACCAACCTATTAGAATAAGAACTGTTTTCTATCATTAAGTTAAGATTAAAACTATTAAAGAAATGGCTCAGCGTGTTGAATCGCCGCCTAGACTAAGAGAAATTTACTACGATTTCATATTAAAATATATATATATATATATATAAAGCAACTATAAAAAGGTAGTTTAGAAATGGAGGTAAGAAAACCATTCTTAGGATTTTTTTACAAAAAAAAAAAAAAACCTGGAAACTCGCCAAGCGGTGGGTTGTTTATTACTAATAGGCTTGCTTGTTGCTTGGAAAAAGCTGTGATTATTGAAGAACGAGCAAAGTAGCTAGCTAGCTATGCTACCACTTACAGATTACCGCTTAATTATCCTTTATTATTCAATGAAAACGTGATTGATTCATAAAGGTTCCGACATTTCAAGACTTTTTTTTACTTTATTACTTTGCTCATTAATTTTTGAGGCGTCATCCGGTTTAGTAAAAAAAAGGTTAATCAGGCATAAGGGTATTTAGCAACGTTGGAGACGTTCTGTCCTGCAGACATAGGCTTGTTCGATCGCGGTCTTGTTTTTTCTCTCGCTACTATCAGGGTTCTTATATCTAGACTAATGAATTATATGAAAGGGAATCATAGAATGGCATGGAATGCATGGAATGGGATAAAATCAGACAACTGACGTTTTCTCAGCGACAAAACTTAAGGTAAAGAACCAACGACAACAACAACATCAACAACGCCAATGACACACACAAACACATAAAAAAGAAAAAAAAAAAAAAAAAAAAAAAAAAAAAAAAAAAAAGCTTCGAGGTACACTGCGAGTATAGATTCTTTTCATGAGTCCTTAGGAGTATTTAATGTGAAGGAGCAGCCTGAGATCATAAGGAGCAGCAGGGAGCACATGAGGAGCAGTTAAGRAGCAGGTTGAGAGTAGTTCAGGGAGGACATAAATTGCGGCAAACTTTGAAAGGAAAATCATTTAGNAAATACACACACTTACAAACACATACACCAAACAAAACAGATCACGGATTAATATATTTAAGTACAATTTTGAATAGATTAATTTTAGAATCATCAAAAATATAGTCTTAACAGGAATCAAACTCACTTATATCTTTCGCTTAATTTACTTTTATTTTTTGTCAGTGTCAGGCATGCGCATGCGCATAATCGATCGTGTTTCCACCTTTTGTGGTGCCTTTGTTTCAGTCTTTTCTTTTATTGGATAATTGACTCATGATGACTCCGAAGATTCGTTCAATGGTTGAACCGTAATTATCCGCACCAACAAGGTCTCTTCTCCATAAAGTTTGCGTATAAAACTCTGATATCTATATCGACAGCATTTTGTAGCGGCCATTTTGTTCGGCGATGGCGGGTACTTAAAAAGAAAAGTTCGTTGGAAAGTACATACGGCTTTAGCTCCTTTTTACGTTTTCCTATAAAAGCAATACAAATACAAAGAGTGCTGCTTGACTTCAGAGCTTGAACTTTGCATGCTTCAGAGAGCGATATTTTAAGCGGGCAGCGAAAAAGAAACCGAGTAAGTATAGTGTAAGTTTTTAAATGTTACTGTGATAGTTTGGATGATGGAAAAGAGCCTCAGTATTGACACCCACATGTTGTAAATACGGGCTTTCATCCAAAGTTGTAAAGCAGAAGGGAAAACTTGCAAAAAGGCTTTCATTATATTTTTTTAAATTTTTACAGCTTCTTTGATTTTGGGCATGAAATGCTAACCGTATGAATGGAAACTGAGCAGGCAATTATAATTAGAATGGACATTTCAGTGGTTTCATTTTCACTTAGGTGAATATATTTTTTCATTTTCTTTAACAGGCAGATTTAAACGTTGAAAAAGCCCCAAAATATTTTCTACGGCTTGATATGTTTCATATGACATTGGATAATTTCATGTGACTCAAGCCAATTGATTTATTTTCTTTGAACATGATTTCCCCCTATTTCTGACCACGAGTTATGCCAAATGAGAATACGCTTAAGATTCATGATTCATGATTAATGATTAAGATTCACTTAATTCAAGGGAATGACACATTGCCTGAAAAGGCAAAATGTATAAATGAACATGTTTTTTTTTTTGGATATCACTGGTCATGGCTTTTGATATTTTCTTTTCATCACTTCGTATTTTATTTTTTAATTTAATTTTCATTAAATTTTCTTGCAACCTTTTAAGGAAATACAGACCCCAATTGATAAGACGTCAATACCTCTTATGTTTACACGGACAACGTCAAAGGAAATTCGTTATTAAAAAAAACAGTCAGCCGAACATATAATCCTTAGATATACAAGATAGCACAGCTAATATGATAGGTATACGCCCACCCAGAGTGATTGGTGATGCACGGTGATCACTGAGATCTTGTTCAGCTTGCTATATTAATACGATCCGAATATGCTGGATCTGTCTACCTAAAATATCTAGAGTTTCTGTGAAACGGATCCTGAAAACGTGCAATTAGCGTTTCTGTTTCATTAGATTCAGTCCCAGTTCCTCGCAAATTCTTGGTTTATTAGTTCATGAATGAATCCATCTTTCTCGGTGGCGTAGAGAATTAAGGGAAAACTTTTTTAACCTTTAATGAAAGCGCTCATCTAGGGGGTCTACGTACAATGTTTAATCTCTTATTGGCCCCCCTCCCTCGTCACGCGTCATTACAGACGGGACTCAGGGTTTTAGCCGTCGATATGAATAATTACGATTCTTATCTGATTTAGTATGGTTCTTAAGACGAAGAGCCTTAAGGAAAATCTTAATTTAAACTAAATTAGTCAAGGTATAAGAAAAGAGCAGAAAAGAAATTGTTGAATTCAACTGAATTATTCGACGTGCATGGCCGCCATGTTGGTTTTGCTGACGTCACCGAAGAAATAACATTAGGCCTTGATTCTTGTGTTTAACCTCCAAAACAAAGGTCGGAAGAAAGAAAAAAAGAAAAAAGAAAAAGGAAGGAATTTAAATACGTTTTCGCACCTCGTTCCACTATTCGTTTATTACTATACTGCTATACGTGTGGCCGCACGCTGAAACTTGAATTGGTTTTTTCGCTGCCGTCAATCAAAACTAAGAGTATTTGGAGTATTAGTCGGTACCTTTGATGCTATTTGACTTGCGGCAGTTAAAAAACAAATTCGGGCAAATCGCATCTATAGAGTTTGCGTGTTTATGAAATAGCAGTAAGTCATTTCCAAATGTTGATAAAGCTAGCTTCCCGTACGAACACATCAAAACCGCTATTACCTATCTCAATGAAAGGTTGTCGTAGCCAAAGGCGATCGTGAGGCAGTAGGCATGCGCAGTAGGCAAAAAGCGATAAGCGATAGGAAACAGCTCATCCAAGAATAGCTATAATTACTTGTGTTTCTTTAATTTATTCTCTTCAAAAAACGGAGGTCATTGTTGATATATCTAGTGTTGTTTGTAGTCGACGAAGCAGTTAAAGGCCTCGATATTCGTGTTCATAATTCCTCCTCTGGAATTCCTTCCCGTCTTGAAATGACCCATCTCATTCCGGCCGGCCCCGGTGTATAGTAGCTTTGACTTGGCATTCCCAAATACATTTCAGTACGTTTCCCAAATACGCGACACTCCACACTCCCAACGACGAACAATAACTCAACTATGGATAGCATCGGTGGCGTTCGCGGCTAACCCGTCGTCTTTCACCGCTGTGAGTCCAACGGGTCGGTTCGTTGGTTCAAGCCCTGCGTTGAGCGTGAATTGAGTTTCTTTGATTTGTTGTTCTCTCCTATGCTACGAAGGTTTTCTCCGGGTTCTCCGGTTTCCTCCCTCCATAAAAATCAACATGTGAGTTGAGTGTTGTGTGCATAGAACATTTAATGTATTGGTAGTGCGTGTGAGCGAAAAGTGTCCCCAATTAGTGCGAAAGCGCTAGAACGACTAGACACTTAAATAGAAGTGATTTATTTATTTATTCTTTATAACGATATATATGTTAGCCACTTACCAGTGCCGAGTAAACAGGAACTATGAATTACAGAAGAAATCTAGCTTTATAAACAGTCAAACTATTACAAGCACACTTGGAAAGAAACAAAGGAAAAGCTAAGGAAACGAGTCATTTCGCATTGAAATCGATTTCTGGTGGACGTCAAGTAAAAAAATATATATATAAAAGAGCCGTTTTATCTGATTCCTTCTATCCCTTTTCGTAGCGGTTTTTGATTCGGCCCATGAGCATTTCTTGCCATTGTTTATGTTGATGTATTTATACTTATTATACGATCACATTTATTTTTTGTCACATGTATGAAACGAAACATTGCCTTCAAACACATTAAGAACTATTTCTGTTGGACGCCAATTAAAATGACTTTTTATATGATTTTATTGTTTTCTATTCATTTTTATAGCGATTAGACGTTTTTGACTTAATGTTCATCAAAACTCGGTCTCGCTTAATCAATCGAGAACACCTGTAAGAGAAATAGATTTATTTTCTTCTGTAAAAACAACACTGTGAAGGAAACGAAACGCAAAACAATTTGTTTTCTTTTTTAACACGCAACCTTTATGTTTTCAAAAAAAATTGAAATCGAGAAACAATCAGAATAAAACACAAATGCAGAATGTAAAACAAGCTTAAATATAATTGCTTAACCACACACAATTCTGTATAAAGAATATATACTTTTTAGCTTGCCTTCATGCAATACTTATGTTTCTGATACCATGGAAGATAAATAAGTTGATTTTGAAGTTTTGCATCTTATTTGATATCTTGCATCTCATTAAATATTTGTATAAATGTATACTACAACCTTTCTGCAATGATCGTCAAGTATATATATATATACACACACTTGATTGCAGAAAGGCTGTAGTATACATATATACAGATGCTTAATGAGATGCAAGACATCAAAACATGCTTAAATACGATTGCTTAACCACTACATTTAGTGGAAAATACTTTTTTAACTTGACTTTGTGCAATATATATATGTTTATATAAAATCAATATTGTTTTTTTTATTTTGTAATTTTTTTTCTATCTATTTTTTCTATACTCCTACGACTTTGTAAATGGAAAAAATATATAAAAATATAATTGAACATCACTAGCTTGAGACAAAACGCCGGGTATCTGACAGTTTTTAAATGACAAGTGGCACTGCTAACACACAGAATCACTTGTCATGTCGCCGATCAAAAGCTTTTATTTTGTATTTTTGGCCACAATCTTAATTCTCATTTCAAGCAAATGGCCATGCTATACATATTATTTCCGCCACCGAGAGAACATTTTATCCATACACCACATCGAAATATGTCGTTAAAAATCCTTTATTTCTTTATCCTTTATCCTAAGTTTCACGTCTCAGTCTCTAGTCAGTACAGAACTGACATGCTAATCAAATTGGTCGCCATATTACGATTCTGTGTATAGATTTATTTTATCAATTATAATTTAAGGAGTTCGAAGCGATTTTTTTCTCTAAAGACTAAAGACTAAAGAATATTTTGTATTTTTATTTTATATTAAGTTTCCGTTTAAGATATAAAAAATATAGAGGATATTGCATGACCACGAAGAGATAGGGATTTTATCTTCGAGTTTTAAGGTGATATCCGTACGAGTCTGAACAGCGAACGAGAGCTAACGAGTAAGATATTATGATTAACAAGAGAAGGTAAAATCTGTATCTCGAAGCTGCCATGTAATGTTATGTTTGCTGATATGATTAGACTATCCGGCGATGAAATACAACTTTGGTGGATTTTACTTTTAACGCGAATCCTAAAAATTCTTACCAATGATGTTATTTTCTCATGTTAAAATATCATGTATTTATATTTTCACATGTAAAGTTATCCCTTTTTAGTCAGAGAGAAAAATAGATATTTTATCGGTGTTTAAAATTATTAATTGGTGTAAATTAATACCTTTAAGCCAATTCAAAAACAATTTCAATTTTATAATCAATATCATCTTATTAGACAAATTATATATGACATGCCTTGGATAGAATGTGTACCTCATAGTAAATGGACTTTCTAAGAGAGTAATGTTTATATGTGGGGGTTGGTTGAAACGGCTCCTAACTGAAGAACGAGCGTCATAACCATTACTGTTCAAACTTTTGAGATAAAGTGAAAACAGAAGGGGCAGCAGATGGGTTTGCCGTGGTCACAAATAGAAATTGTTTGGCTTTGTCATCTCTGATGAGGTAACCACACATAACCCGGCGACGCTAGTAGTATGGAGACTAAAAAAAGAAAGAAAGAAAGAAAAAAAAAAAAAAAATTGGATAGTACAAGTTGAACAATATTATTCCAACGAAATAATTGCCGACCATATCATGATGTGTACTATCCGGTATATTATAAATTTGTTGTAAGGCGCCTCGATGTCTTCAGTTATGACAAAAAATAGTGATATGAGATTCCAGCTGTCTTATGATGTTGATCAGACGTCTATTAATCATTCTTATAAACACTTTGCTAGGAATCCACAGGGGAGTATATATACAGATTAAACAGTGAGGCACCCAGTACGTTGACAGAGAACCGTTGTGTTGCATTGTACATATGGATCCCCAAGACGTCAATTCCTCATTCCTGAACTTTAGTTTCTCCACCAACACAACCACGGCTGCCAATAGAAGCCAAGTCTTCACAGAATTTGAATATGCTTTGATTTTTGTGTTTCTTGGAGTCTTTGCCGTATTGATAATATTAACCAATGCATTCGTGATTTACCTGGTCAAGAGAATGTCTTATCTACAAACGTCTACTAACTATTCCTTAGCCAGCCTTGCGTGTTCTGATCTTCTAGCTGGCTTAGTGGCAATACCTCTGATCATACTTAGTGCCGTCACTAAAAAAAGAGGCTTATTTCTGGCCATGGACTTAAGCAGCAGATTCATCTGTCTCTCTACAATTCTACATCTTTCCAGCATTGCTCTAGAGAGGTATATCCTCATAGTTCATCGGATGAATACAGAACTAATGACCAAGCAATCCACTCTCATCGTTCTTCCAGGAATTTGGATATTTTCTTTAACAGTAACGTTGATCCAAATGGCCTGGATTGATTTTGACACGCCGAGACTTTTGACAAAAAAGGGCATGGAAAAAGTCGAGGTGATATATGACCTTTGTTGTATCTTTATTCTAGTATTCCTCCCACTTCTGATCATCATATATGCTTACGTGAGGATCTACATCATCGTACGTCGGCAGCACAACAGTGTTTCGCGGCAGGAAGCCCACATCGACGAAGCGCTGAAGAAAAGAAAAAGACGTTTGAAGAAGGAAATAAGAGCAGTTTTCATCTACGGAGGAATGGTGCTTACGTTTGTTCTTGGTTGGTTTTATTACTTTTTAGGTGGACTTATGCATGATTTAAACGTAACAGAAAACTGGCTCGATACTCCACCATGGCTAGATATCGTGTTGCTATTCACAAGGTTTGCTACATCGTTAGTCAATCCACTATTGTATACATTCTTTAAAATGGACTTTTTGAAGGCCGTAAGATCACTTAGGAAGAAAATACCATGCAACTCTGAACTTTGTAAGAAAAAACCCACGGCAGATACATTTGCTATCAAGATTTTGAAAGAAGGTAAGCCACAAGAGTCTAATGGATACCAATTGTCATCGAGAATCGAGACCTCTTATACTGTTATTAACCAAATTAGGAAAAACAGCAAGTCTATTGATGCTTCCGAGAGCATTTAAAGGACAGAGAATTGGAAAGAATACAAGAAACAACAGTAAATCTATTGATGGTTGGAAGAACAGAGGGAAGATGACAAAACGAACAGCAGCTAGTAAATCTATTGATGGTTGGAAGAACAGAGAGAAGGTGACAAAACAAACAACAGTAAATCTATTGATGGTTGGAAGAACAGAGAGAAGGTGACAAAACAAACAACAGTAAATCTATTGATGGTTGGAAGAACAGAGAGAAGATGACAAAACAAACAACAGTAAATCTATTGATGGTTGGAAGAACAGAGAGAAGATGACAAAACAGACAACAGATCTATTGGTGGTTGTGAGAGTATTGGAAGAACAGAGAGCAAATGACAAAACAGACAAGATACAACAGTAAATCTTTTGATGCGGGTTGTGAGAGTATTGGAAGAACAGAAACAAGATGACAAAACAGACAAGGAGAAACAACTGAGTAAATCTATTGATGGTTGTGCCAATGAAAAAAGCATTTACCATGAGTCGGAAAGGAAGAGCAAATATTGATTAGTTGCAAAAAAAAGTAAAATAAATAAACCAAACCAGTGCCGCGGTATGTAGAAATAAACCGGGATTATATCAATGTAACAATCAATTTCTTAATTCTTCCGGGAGGGACAGAGGGTTTGATTATGCAATCAAGACCTGCTTTGACATCATTGACTCTGACTTTGTACCAAGAAGGATAACAAGGAAAGGACAATTCCATGTTACGGCACTGACAACCAAGGGGCAAAATATTTCCAAAATGACAATTGCGCAATGGTAACTGTAGTACCGGGCCTTCTTCAAGAGTCTTCCCCTTCCCGAGAAAAGACATTGATAGCTCTTAGCATAGATCCACTACATACGAATTCAAGATAAGTTAAATGGTTCGTAAGAGTTCTTATACATACTTATTAATTATTTCTTATATATAGAAGGCTAACAAATTGTTTGATAAAATGTATATCATTGACTTTCGATGCCCAACGGTTTTAGATAACACCGAGGGGGGAGGGGGGATAAAGGGTTTTGAGCGTACGGATATTGCTAAATGCTTAGCTTCTTATGATAATAATGAGAATCCAGACGAACAGAAATGACTCAAAAAGTTTGATACGGGTCTTCTTTTTTTCTGGGATATTCGGGTAATGTGTTTGTAGTTCCGAAGGTTTTGGAACACTAATAGTACGCATAGTCCATGAGAGGTGCTTTTGACGGGATGACCAATAATTTCCCTTGATGCGATTGGTTGGACGGGAATTTACTGAGTGTTAATACCAAATTGCCTTCCTTTGTGGAAGCTTTTAAAAGGCGTCTCAAATGAAACATTCTGTAGACCAATGTCTTGTCTCAAAAAAGCTGAACAATAAGGTAAAAGGCTTTTTAAACGTATTTTTAAAAGCTGAAGTGAATAAAAAATTTGGAATTACTGCTTTCACTCATGCATTTCATCAAGCATACTCAGATCAAGTTATGAGGCAAGTTTCTGGTGAATATTTGAAGACAGAAGATAACGATTGACTTATCTCTCTACAAGAAATTTATTTTTCTTCTTTTTGTCTTGGTATACGAGAGAATGTACGCAGTGGAAAGATTGCAGGGATATAAAGGCTCTTACACATCGCATTTCCGAGCAATATGCACGTAGCCTTACATTGAATTTTTGTGTGTGACACAAGCAAAGCATATCTGGGAAGTGAGCTACAGACCCTTGCATGTGACGTCAAGCAGCTTATTTTGGAGAATGAAACAAAAGAATTTCTAAATCTCCTGAACAACTGGTAACCTATTGTTGTGTCCTCCAAATTGAGCTGTTGACCTCACATGCAAGGTGTCTATGGGTTGACTATTTAATACGCTCAAATACCCTAAACCCTCCCCCAAGGTCAAACGTTTTGTAGGCGTTAGCCATCCTTATGATTCTTTTAAAATGTTAAAATATCAATACATAGAAATACAGCGAATAAAATATTTCATAACTGTAACACGTTACTGTTTAAACTACTTTTGGTTGAATTGGTTTACTAACGAGAGAGAGTAAATAGAAAATAAATATGAGGGAGGGAAGGAGGGAGGGAAGGAGGGAGGGAAGAGAGGAAGAAGGGAGAGAGGAAAGAAGAGAAAGAAAAAGGGAGGGAAGGAATAAGCATTGAGGGAGGAAGAGAAGAAGGGAGGGAAGAAGGAAAGTGGGAGGGAATGAGAGAGGGAAGAGGCGTGGAGGGAGGAAGTGAAGGAGGGAGGGAGGAAGAGAGAGAAGGAGGGAGGGAGGGAGGGAAGGAGGGAGAGAGAGATGGAGGTAGGGAGTCAATGACTTTATTCAAAGACTGTAGGACAGCTGGCTACGCTTAGAAGGTACGGGACTAAATACAGTTTTGCATTCAATGCATACAGTTGTTTTTATGGTATCAGGATACCTTCGAGATCATTTTACGCGGGAACCGAATTTCCCAGTGCCTCTTAAATATTATTATTCAAAGGAATACATTCTCTGGAATCTAAATAAGCATATTTTTCGAAAATCTATTTAGAATTTTAAGTGACAAATTTAGTTTCTACAAAACTTTCTAGGTAGTTCTAATAACATCAGATGGAACTAGTTCCCCTGGCTCGTATGACCAAGGCACTCTCTTTAATCATGGAATATCAATAATATCTTTGAGTGATAAAGAGTAATGTTCAGATGATCCACATCTCAATCGCAACAAATTTCGTCAGTGCTATTAATGACTTTAGTAAAGATGTCTACCTTACTGTTTGAAATATTCTAGACTTATCTATCGGCTCCATGATTAACGTTTCTAGAATTAGATGAATAATTCAAGTTTGGCGGCCTCTTTGTACGATGGTACGGATCCGGAATTTAATAGGCCTCATATCTAAATCCCCTACATTCACGACTACTTAAACCATTACCTAACATGTACTTATTTTTTAATGATTATTCGCCAAAGGCGAAGTGAATATCGGGGAATAATAACCGAAACGAAGTTGAGGTTATTATTCCTATTCACTGAGCCTGAGGCGAATAATTGTCTTAGTATAAATACACAGGTGATTCTTTCAAAAAAAGGAAAAAAAGAAGATAAAAGACAAATTCAAAATTAGAATACAGCAACAAAGTGGCTAGCCGCCATTTTGGATTTTCGCTGGAGTTTCTCGACCAATCAGCGCGCGAGATTTTCACTAATCACATGTAGTGTATTAATACTAAATACCTTTATAAAACTGAAAATGAGAATGAAAATGAGATAATGGTTTTTGCCAATTCCTTTTTTTCCCTGGCCGCCAAATGGCTGACATGTATGCATGACTGATTGACAAGATTGACAAGATTGGGAAATGAACTGAGTAAGAAAAGGAGGGTGACGAAACGGTAACAAAGAACAAAAATAAGTTTAAAAGAGAGAAAAGATATTTAACTAGAGAGAATTACAAAAAAAAATCATCTATTAAATTGATGTGTATATCATTTTTAGAAGGAAAAACCACGGTCATTTACAGATTCCAGTTTTCAAGAAAATGCTATTGAAAAGGCGATTCAGTTAAATCAATATTGAAGAGAGTTTGCTCCGTATAAGCGAAGTGGTCGCCCATCTTCTGAAATTTAGTTTTTAACCGATTGTTCTACAATTCTTCTAGTTCTAGAGCAATGTTGTTCGATTTTCTTGACTTGGCGGGAAATTTTGCGTCAAAACATTGGCGGGCGCTCTCCCACCTCTGTTAATCTGAGACTGATTCTATGGCATACTCCTACTAAAGTACGACGTAGTTAGAAGAGCCACAAGAGAGCATGAACTTCATACTCTCTTAGTAGAGTACAAATTGGAATATATTCGATTGATATTTAAAAGAATTCAAAATACCAAGAGCCCTTAATAAAACGCACGCAAAAATTCCAAATAAACCCTCACTTATTAGCATAATTTAATATACAAATTAAATGCAAACGCGCGCGACTAATATTCGATTCACCGTGGTCCTAGTGTACTTCAGATACCATTGAGAAATGGAGAGGTAACTGGCTGAGCTAGTCTTCAAAGAGCCAAAACAGCGCAAGGGAGGGTTGATGGGTCATAAAGTAACAAAGGAGATAGTCAATCGCAGGTCTGGAGACGGGAGTACGGTGGGGAAGTACAAACTTTGTATGTTTGAACCGAAGTTATTATGGCAGTGCTAAGAAAATTCTAGGCGATAAGTAAAATTGCTTTAAGAATAATTTCGCTTTCGTTGACTTTTCTTCAGAAATGAAATGAAATAACAACAGACACGACGGCCATGTTGGAGGATATAACCAAAGAATTCATTGACAAATCTTTTGTTAAGTTCCTCCAACATGGCCGCCGTGAAAACCATCAATTGATGGAAAATGCTTTGTTCTCCAATTGCATGGCTAGTTTTTTTCCAGCTAATTATAGAAAGGTGTTTTATAATTCTGTACTTGATTTTCAAAGAAATTGCACGAGGACCTCTGCGTCATTTGCATCATCATCAAGTGCACTGAATGTGAACCTGGATTTAGAGGAGCTTGCTATTACATGTGATCTTGAATGCTACGTATGAGTGTAAAACTTGGAAGCTTTTTTCTTGACTTATTCCTATTTTTTGTTATACTTGCACGATTAAAAACTCTATCACTAAATAATGCCAACTTATGAAAGGCTGGTTGCAACAGAAAGTTGTATTGTGCCCATTGTCTGTCATCAAGTATTGTGCTAATGTGTACTGTGCTGAATATGGGTGCCTGGAAAACGAGCCCTAGTGGAATATATCAGCTAAAACGTTCTTATAATCTTTGTCGCCTGTCTTCCTCCTTCTAGTCCACCAATCATGAGCAAGGAGAGAATACCGCTGATCAAGAGGAACTAAGGCTCAGAAGAACAAATCAAAATCTGATTATATTGATTTCTTCGTAGTAAGTAACAGACGAAGTTTTCTTGTGCAGTGGACCTGGGTGTTCGCCTCGTGTGGCATTGTTCAGCTCACAGATCTTTTTCTCTCTGTGGAAGTTAAATGACTTACAACCATTGTACAACTGACAGTAGCTCATGCAAATAAACACGTCCTGCACGCCTGTCTCTGTGTGAATCACGTGACCAATGAGGCGGGAACCTACTTCTTCGTCAATTGCTTGAAACATTGTGTCGGGATGGTCTACATAAAAAAAAGATTGAAAAGACAAATTAAGAGAACTAGTCAGTGCAAGATATTCTAAACCTGATCATAACATTATTTACCTTGGTTACCGTGTTGTTGATTTTCAATGCAGTATCGACAAGGTAATGCATTAGGTACACCGCTGAACTTGTACACGTAATATCCAGAGCACTTCCTGATGTGTACCGTGGTGCTCTGATAACAGCAGTTACCGTTGAAGTGAAAGCAGACAGTTCTCTTGACGATTCCATCTTGGATGATTGGATGTGCTCCGTTCAACCATCCAGGGGCCTGGGTACCACACCTGTTCTGTGGGACACACGTGGTTGGTAACTGATTACCAGCTGGGCTCTGGATACGATACCACTTGCTAAAATCAATATCTGTGTTATCGTTCTTGACTTGAGATGAGTGGTAGATGTGGTTGACAGCCCTGGACACGTCACTGATGATGCGGTAGTCATGGCAAAGCTGAAGAGGAGCTGTGTTTTTTTAAAAACATCAAATTTTAAAATTTTGAATTTCACATAAGAAATGCTTGAATAGAAAAAAGCGTGGCTTACCTTTTGCCTTGAGGGACACGTTCTTTGTTCCTTCACGGTTGGAAGCAACACACACGTACTCGCCATTATTCTCAGTGATAGTGATCTCTGCAGTAGATGTCTTGTTTACTAGCACTACCCCTGAGCGTACCCAGGCCACGTATGGAGTGGGTGAACCTTTGGCTTGACATTTAACTGTCTCATTCGTAAACACGAACGTGTTGTTTAAGAGGCTTGGAGTGGTGATTTCAGGGAAACCTGAGCAAGGAAATGAGAAGGAAAATAATTGGATCTTAAATATGTGGCATTGACATTTCATTGGTATGTTAATATCATACAATGCTTTCTAGTGACATTTAAGTAACAAGTGGAATATTCCATAGTGTACCACGAGAAAGAAGGCATCGTATAACTATTGAATCTCGAGCCAGTGACACTCCTTTAACACTTCTCTAGTTTACATATCTTCATTGCAGCCATCAAACACTTCATGTTTAAGATTACTATATAATTCTTTGTTTTTAAGCAAAGAATCACTTAAAAGTGATTTGCGTGACTATTTACTTCATCACACCTTCCTCATTTTACACTAATGTTATACTCGAATCTTTTACGATTCTCTCAATAGTTCACCAGAAGCCATTTCCCGACGATGATTTAAGCACGCCTTTCCTTTATTTTATAGTTCTCACCTCTGAGATGATTTATTTGTTCTGTATTTAAGACACCATCGATGATGTACAAATCCATGACTGAGCCAAGAAACTGGTGTTCATCTGTATGGCCATCATCACCTATCTCGTACGTGTCTCTCGTTGGAGGTTGCCACGTTCTACTTTTGTCAATAGCAAGAGTATTTTCTTCCTTACCGTCAATGTAAAGTTTGCTAACGCCTCCTGATTGATCCCATGTAACAGCAATGTGAAACCATTTGCCAACGTTGATTGTGGACTTGCTTTCCAAACTAGGACCGTACCAGCTTGCATCTGTTGAATGGCGAACAAACTGAATGATTCCAGTTTTATGGACTGCAAGGAAGAAGTGCCATGGATCGTACCAGTCACTAAATATTGCTTGTACTCTATCGGCGAGGATACTTTTCACTTTAACCCAGAGAGCAATGGTGAAACTTCTTCCACGAAGTTCAACTTTAGGAATTCGTGCAAAGCAGTTGGATGATTGGTTAAAGTTGATGGCTTTAGTTCCTGGATAACGACCTTCGACAAAGGTGGGGCCACCATAAAGGCTGCAAATGAGAGAAATAACTGCCGAATCGCATCAATCTTCAACAGTTATGATTCAGAATCACTTGCGTCTGCTTGAAATTTAGTTTTGCTCTTTTACTTAATTAAAAACTACTGCAATAAGTAATGTATACAGTATGAGTGACCGTGTTGTATCAGATATACAACCACGAGGCGTAGCCGAGTGATTGTATATCTGATACAACAAGGCCACTCATACTGTATATGACTTATCAAATGTCTACTGGTTAGTTCCTTTGTGTTTCACAAAAATTTTCAAAATTAAAGTGAATTTGGCCAAGAAATTCCAACTTAAAGTTTATGCAAATGAACACAGTTTTGTATCAGATTTAC